CAAGCTCATATTCAGAAAGAACACAAAATTCTGGTTCTAATCCATAGTTTTCGACTCGTCTGAAATATTTTCAAGTGGGTCAGATATAAACAAACATTTTGTGCGAAAACTTTCGATCCACCCGTTATATATTAGAGGCTCTTTAAAAGACTTCCTTATTAATTTCTTTTAGTAGACAGTCACGATTACTAGACGACAATGCAGTTAGATCCGCCACTGGATCAAAGTTGTAAGACAAACAGGTATATGTTTGTTTCTCATATCTCTATGTAAATCTTTGTGTTCAATCGCTTCTTTTTACGATAAACGTTCTCATGTTCACATGCTACACAAACAGCACAATCTAGCATTTAAAAAAATGATATTGTTTTTTTCCTAGTTGTGGTTTAGTCTACTCGACGAAAGTTTTATTCACAACGCTCTGAACTTTTGTTGATATATTTATTTATTGTTCAATCATATGACTATCCTGTTTGTTTTTTCAATTGCTTGTAATTTGCTGTAAAAATTTCAGCAATAAAATTGTAGCGATAATGAGATGATACATGATTCATTAAAATGATGAAGAAAAAGCTCGAGTTTTACTAGGTTATACAAGAAATTTTGTACTTGGTGGTAAAAAGGAATTACACACTAATTTCCAACAACTAGAAGATTTTTTCTTGATAAGACAAGCCTTACTTCATCAACCAAGATTTCATTTATTGGATTATCGACTATTTTTCAAGATATTCTTGTTTCGATAGGAATCTTATATCGAACCCAAAAAAATGAAAAGAGAATCTCTTTTAATGATTTTTCTGCAAAAAAATAAATAGAAGAATATTAACTGATGTAGCATGGACTGTAACGGTTCATTTTGCTAGGATTCTAGAAGTGCATAACAGTGGTAGCCTGCTTACTGAAAAAATTTTATTCTCCTAGAATAATAAGATAATATATTTTATGTCATTCAGTTATTTTTTACAAAGAGTCATTGATAAACATTAGAATACACAATTACATTTTTTCATCGTTCACAGTAGTAGAAAATAATCTTTGATACAAAGATAAGGTTTACCTTTTGACATTACTAGAATTGTTTTCGTTTTGTGCATTAGATAAAGTTGACTACCAAAATATTATAATACAAAATACAATGTAGTTTTTCGGTTATTTTTGCACAAAAAGTACGTCATTTCAACTGTTTAGATTTCGTCATAAGCGACTAGTTTTACCTAGCTAAACAAGCTGTAAATATATGTAAGTTACACTATCGAATGACAGATAAGTTTTTGTTTCATTTAGCAGTTAACAGCAATGAATGATTGATGGTAAGTTTTGAAAAAAACAATGAGATAATTAAGAAAAAAAGCAGTTTTCTTCTTATCAGACATTTCTTCTTATCGGTCTATTCATAGACTAAAAATATGTCAAGATGTCTAATAAATATGTAGACAAAAGAATATCAGAAGATTTTAACTGGTTCTACAAGATTTTTTCCATACACGACAAGACTCCAAACCAAAATAAAGCATTTATACTCTCGAAACGATTCGATTCATGGAAAAAACACATGAATATTCGCCTTAAGATCTTGAGAATATCGACATATAGATAATAATACGTATAACATAATTATTGGCTAAGAATTTAGTCTAATTTTTCTGTTTATTCTAAAAAAAATTGGGTAGATTCTGTGTTTTAACTGATATAATTCGTGCAATAAAGAATTTATGATTTTTTATAAAATGAAAACTCGTGCCAAAAGATCTTGTTGTACATATCTTTAATATTTAATTTACATATTTATGATATTAATGAAGACTTAAGACAAACATTAGATAGAATATAATGCTAGTTTATAAAATAAAAATTTCTGAGATAATGAGCATAATATGTATAAATGTCCTTTGAAGATCAATATATCATATTTAACTTTTGGTGCCTTTAGTTTTGGGTGCGCACAATTTTTGTGTTGCAACTTTGAGGGCTTCTAGTTCAGATGTGCTTTGTTGAGTTGCATAACCATCATGTAAAAGATTGGGTTCTGTAAACTTAACGCCTTTCTTTTGAACATTATCAATGAAACAAGCAGCTTCAGGAAGTGTTTTCCATGAACGTGTTGTCATACATAATTTATTGCATACTGTTGATCCTTTTGGACTTTGTAAATCAAACTGAATACCACGTCCAAGAGCTAATGGTATTTGTGATGAAAGTACATATTCAGTTGGTGTTTTCAATTGTTTATATGAATCAGTAACATGTACTCGTACTTTACATCCTTTGGCTACGACACCAATTGATTTTAAATAAGGCACAAATGATTTATTTGCCATAATTTTGTCACCACTAAAATCTTTTCCGCCTTTGTATACTGATATTTGACATTTTTCCTTGTGTTGAAATAGGAAACCATTAACATTTGTAGTCAAGAATAATGTAGCTAAGATTGATAAAAATACAACGAATTTGAGCATCTTATTGACGAACCAGTGATAATGTGAAATGGAGATAAAAATGTGAGGCTCGTATGTCGATGAGAGTATATGTAGATGGAATAAGGTCTGTTTTTGTTTTCTTTTCTAGATGCTTAGAATCGATAATAAACACAGAAGAGACGACAGAAAAACAAAATATATTACTCATAGAAGATAAAAAAAAAAATGCATTTTTTATTGATGAAAAGCTATCAACAACAACAACCAGTATGTACAAAGCATAGAAAGGCATTAATGATTAACAACCAGAAATGACGTGTCCATAATACCAGATACAAAAAAATCTATAACCTTCATGTCCGGTTGATTAAAATACAAACAAAAAGAAAATATAAAGATAAATATACGTATATGAGATTATGAAGTAAACGATACATATTTTAGTAATAGATGTCCTTTAAAAAAAGCAAGATATCCATCGTTTTCTTTCTTTTAGACCACAATACAAAAGGAACTCAGAGAAAAACATTATGATAAATTGGATACAGATAACATCTTTAGAAGAATTCTACTTATGTCATAAACAGATAATCTCAAAGTTATATATTTTCTCATTATCTTACATAATTTTCAGAAAAAAATATTTTCTGTCAAAATTTATGCTAAGGATATCTTATACATATTTTCTTGCTATTAAGTATGCTAGATTAAAATAAGCATTAAACTTTATCTGTCTATTTTACAAGTAATCGACTGTATCATCGTGGTAATTTGCATCTAAGAATTGAGTATCATTTACTAAGACATACAATTATCATTGTAGAAACAATAAATTAATGTAGATAGGCGAACAAGGTCTTTAGTTTTTGAAAAAGAAAACAAATTTCATTATAATTCTAGTTAAATCTTATTATTTTAAAACAAAGATAACGAATCAATGATAATTTTTATATGAATAGTAAACATTTAGAGTTTGATAGAATGTTAACCATTAATATTCGTACATTAATTTTGATACTTTTTAGACGCCATAAGAATAAAAAAAAACCAGTCTCTGTCTTCTATAATTAACATTATTATTATCTTTGAGAAAATACATTAATATATTCATTAGAGTTTCTGGTGTACAGGAGAGAAAAAACAAGCTGGTATAAATACAGCTAATTATAGAAGATTTCTGCTTTATGCTAGACAAATAAATGGATTGATGCTATTCTTAGAATAA